GGTTGCCCGCAGGTCGCCATGTTGCTGTTGTACCTGTCCTCCTGCGACATGGTCGTCCATCTCTTGTGGCTGTCTCTTATACACATCTTCTCTGTATCAGCCATGGCGCAGCGCGGTTTTAGGGATAGATGGCCGGTTATAGTTTCACGGCTCCATCCTGCTAAAGCGCGACGAGCCCGGCTAAACCCGGCGCCGGTCTCGGCTCAAAATTTTAACTGGGTTGGAAGTCTAGAAACGATCTGGCTACTGAATGCATCGACATCCAGACTACACCTTGTATCAGAGCATTAAGGATGGAATAAGTTGCGATCGATTAGCCTCAACCCCTGCTGTGTCAAGCCATACAATTAATGGAAGCCGATTGCATATTTTTAGAAAGGAGGTATCGCATCAATCGGTTTCGATGTATTCAATAGAAGGTATGTAGAAGGTATTCGATATTCTGCGTTGGCTGTTTGTAATTGTGTTGAGATTCTAGCAGCGGACCAAAACCTTATCAGCTCCAGCCGACCGCTTGCCTTTCTTCATCCGCCTGGAAACTGTTGCTTTTGAAAGGGAGCGACATATTCGACTTGAAAGCTTCAATTGTAAGTTTGAACCTTGTAATGTTAAAACAGTAAAATGTTGTGGATTAGTTACAAATTCTCAATGCTTTATCCTACCTAACCGTATTGCAGAAAAGAGCCAAACCTGTGTAGTCGGATGAGCTGCACGGGCTACTTTTATGCCCTATCATCTATGAAGCCGATTATTTGAAGTCTTTCCAATTAATTCTTAAATTTATTAGTTAATATTTCAATTTTCAAGTTAATATATACGAAATGCCACCTAAAAACCTACTAATCAACGTTTGTTAATTCTAAAATGTTTCTTCATACATGACCTGATAAATTTTCTGATGTTCATCATGAACCAAGCGTAATTGATAATCAAGAAGCGACTGTCAGTTATCTTGCCTCCATTCCTTGGTTGAAAATATTCCTTGCTATTATATCTTCATGACTCCAAATTCGAACGAGTCATCCAACTGATGGTGTTATTAACATCCAGAATAGGCAGTTCTCCGTATTGGACTCTTGTGTGATCCAACACTTCCGGTTTGACGAAAATAAGGTCGTGTGTATAAGGCCGGATGATTTTCATGTAGTAGATGTAACCTTTAGACTTCATTAGGTCAATCAGTGCAGGCATTCCTTCTGGGATGAGGTTGTACTCCACGGATAACGTCTGCATGAAATAAATTTAAAGAAAAGTTTTAGATATCTATCGCTTTAGATATCTTTTTTTCTTTTTTTAGATATCTTTAGATCGCCGGCAGAATTCGTACAACTTCTGAACTTCAACTTGTCTAAACTGTATGTCTAAAATCAGCGAACTTTTGTGGCAAGTTAGATAACGATTAAAATATATCCTGCATTTGAATGTAATCCATTAATACAACTGAAACATTTGGGAAAATATTGTAAGCACCTACGAAATATTCACCTTAATATCAATCTTGTCCCAAGGAATAGACTGCAGGACCTTGTACTCGGAACTCTCGACGTCGAGGCTGAAGTAGTCGACGGTGGTGGTGCCGAGTGCGAGCAGAAACGAGTACAGCGGGAAACATTTCGCACTGCTCAGGTCCAATGACTCTCCTGGGTAGTTTGGATCTTGAGGATTTAATATCTTGCCCATAGATTTTTTGTTAGAAAATACCACCTGAAAAAATCATGTTAGGATTAATGCAGATTGAACGTGAATTAGTATTTCCCTGTGCTAGGGCAATTTCTTTTCAATGAGGTCATATAAAGATATAAATACTTATGTTTTCTATTGCAAATGGATGTTACCAGTCATAATTCGGTTGGGATGTGGCTCCTCAAAAACTTAAACGCTCCCTGGAAATGTGTCCAGGATACTTCAGTGTGCGCTTACACTATATAACTTTTAGAGAAATGGCGAAAGGCCTCTAAGAAAAAGAGCGGGATAATATAGTGTCTGAGATTTGTGTTGATCGGATATGGTAGTCGGTACCCTACGCTCTGTCCTAGTACTATTCTATTACTATATTAATCTTCTATTTCGTGTTTTGACAATTTTTTTTTATTTATTCCATAGGGCTCATTTTAGTGTGTTCTCTTTTTCCTTGTCGCTCTCACTCACCTTGTCAGCTGATTTGGTTTCTCCAATGCACGCTTTAGCTAAGTGCACTTTTCGCTTCCTAGACAATAATTTTTCAAAGTTCCTCGGGTTCGGTTCAATCAGGATCCCGGTCCAATTTCGTTTTATTTCAAAAAATAAAGTGTTGCTCACCACTTCGCCCGTGTAACCTCCACTCTCGACGTAAAAGCCATTCCTCTGTTAACATAATTACTAAATTATTGTTCAGAAAGCTTGAATGCCTCTGGAAAAACAAATGCCCTTTGAACAGCTTCATGTAAGAAATAGTTCATTTCTGAAAATCTAATTGTGTAAAATTACTTCTCGTGAGTTTTACTGCATAGATATTTAATTTTTTCCCAGAAATGTTAAATGAGATCGAACTTTCAACTGTCACCGTAATAGTATATCCCCAAAAACAGGTAGATGTAAACTACCTTATGGTTTAATAGTTCGTCGACAACTTTCGCCTGGCCGTCGGAAGGGTCATGGTTGATCCCATAATACAAATTGTATGGTTCGGTAGAGGGAGGCACGATGACGTGTTGGCGGATGTAATCGATCAATCTCGGGTCATCCGCGTCCAGACCCATGAAATCTGTGGAAATGAAAGCAATTACTGACATTGATTAGTCGTTAACCGTTATCATCGGAGACGATAACGCGTTATTTTGATCATAGATCATGCGGTGCATCAGTCACAAGATTTATTTGCATCAGTTAGCATAATCTTTGAATTTTTTGCATGGTGACGTCTATTTTGAAGTTTGAAAATGTATGGTGAGGCTCATTTTCGTGAGTGCTGGATTGTTTAATAATTAATGGCTTGGTGTGATGTGGCTTCATTATTAATAAATTTATTCAGATGAAGTCTCTTGTTTTATTTTTTCCCGATCTCCGTCATGAACTGTTGATTGCCTTGGAACAAAATTTCGTTGCTCGTTATTTCAGCTCGAGATACAATAAGTTCACGTTATGTAGTTAGCTTCTACGAGACTCATATAACTGACAACGAATATTGGATAATATTGCTGAAACATGCAAATTTAAACATAAATTAGAAATTTATTTTAGAGCCTCTTGAATGGCACTGAATTAAACAATCGAACATGCTAAAAATAAGTATATACTATAAGTATGCTATAGATGATATAAGTTTTTCATTTTAAGTAAAACATGTTGCATGTTAAACTAAAGAACCGTTTCTGAATACCAGCTTATTAACGCGAAAATTATACTGATGCCACAAACGTGGAAGTGGAATTTTCCACAAACTTTGTCAACGTTTTTAGCATGGATTATATATATTTGAAGTTCGGCTTTCACCCTGCAATTATAACTGAATTCCTTCACTCTATCGCTTCGTGGAAATGTTCGGCATGATTTTCAATTTTGCACTAACTGCTTCCATGGGTGAAATCTTTTTCAATAGATATGACCAAAATTAGAAAGGAAAAAATGGGAGCTAGCAATGTTACAACCATTTAAAATAAAGCAGCTGGAGCTTTCTACTCGGTTAAAAAGCGTTTGTATTTCCTAGGGCTGCATGCCTATCCACGTCTCGTCGATATCGCATCAGTACAGCGATTGGGATGGAATTAAAAGATGGTTTGGCGCCTAATTACGGACACCGGTTGGCGTTGCATCTACGTTTAAGCCTGACGTAGCCCGGCAGCTGAGGCTGTGAGTGCATTAGCGCGCTGTCTAAATGGTACTCTGTGCAGTGATGGCTGGCTGCATGCAGTCATCACTGCAGAGAATAGAGAAATTTCAGATAATTCAAAAAACTAAATCGAATAATCATTTCTCTAATAAATCTACTAAAAATTACAAATAATTGAGAGATTTACTTGTGCATAATGCATATCAATCCCGAATTCTAAATCTTCCAAATCTCTTCAAAATATTAGAAAAATCCAATTCGGTCATAATTTCAAATTTAAAACTACAATAACTTTGCATTGATTCTTCCCTTCAATACCCACCATAGGATTTGGACTCGAATACGATTTAACTTACCCTCATCCGCAGGTGGCCATGTCTCGAAGTTGATCAGTTGAAAGTGCTGCACAGACTTGTAAAAGCTGATCAATGAAAACAATCCGATGAGTAAAAACAAGATGCATGTTGCAGCAATGTCGTAGTAGCAACATTGATTCAACGTTGCATTGTAACGTCAGTACGACGTTTCATGAGAGACGTTGCTTCAATTTTCATTCTAAACCTCTTTTCACCGCGATCTCAACGTCGTAATAGGTAGTTGTTTCAACGTCGATTCAACCAGAGAACTCAACGTTGCAGCACCGTCGTAGTAGCAACATTGATTCAATGTTGCATTGTAACGTCAGTACGACGTTTCATGAAAGATGTTGCTTCAACTTTCATTCTAAACCTTTCACACCGATCTCGATGTCGCAGAACATTGAGAGTCAATGTTCTAAGAATCAAAGCTGCTGGGTAAGAATCAAAGGTGAACTTACATTACGTGCGCTCAAACATGTGTGCGCCGCTTGCACTCCAATACGCAAACCACAATCTACTCGATAATTGCACTTGCAATTCCGGGCAAGTTCCAACTGGAAAGGTTTACATGTTTCTTTGTTTCAAGTGCACATCGAATAGAGCTTTCAGTTATACAGCTTAGAAGTTCCCACCAGGCGAGGGTATGCGGGGGTCTACCTCCCGCACCGCCCGCAAAGCATTAGTCGTTGCCGCCCTTGCCAGAAGTCAGCATTCTAAATCAGTGGTTCCCAAAGTGGGCGATATAGCCCCCCGGGGGCGGTGGAAAAATCTGGGTGGTGAGGAAGAAAGGGGCAGTAGCGGGCGGCCATCCGCGAAGTCGAAGTCAAGTTCGTTCGTTTGTTTGACGATTTGTACGCAACACATGCAGAACATGACTCCGACTCGAATAAATTTTCACGAGCTGAAAATCATCGTTTGGTAGTTAGGAATTATATTCAAAATTTCGTTCGAATATGTTCAGTAGCTTGGAAGAAATTCGTTGATCACTGCGAATTTCGCCCCATATCGTCATATTACTCCCGAACGAAAGTGAAATTTAAAGTTTTTTCACAAGCCAAACATCACCGTTATGTCCTAATGAATACATGTTCCAAGTTATATCGAGTTGCGATCTTAGTTTGGGGGATATTCCTTGGTCACTGAATTTGGGGATTGGCCTTTGAGACCGGCTGCGAGACCGGCCACGAGTCCGGCCGTAAATTAGTCCGAGCCGTCTTGAATTTTCAGTGCTGATTTAGTTAAACTGTAAAAAAATATATTGGTTTACTAAATGGGGTTCTATTTGTGAAATACACATTTGTGTTTAACCTTTCTCTTTTAGAATTACAGCGTACAAAATATCAAGAAAGAGACGTTTGTTTTTATATGTGTCTGTCGGGGGGAGGGGGAGTGAGCGCTAGGGATTCACTGGGGAGCCAATTGGGCGCCAGCCTAAAAAGTTAGGGAACCAGTGGTCTAAATCTAACAGTGGAGCAGGGCGTACGAAGAGTGATCAATGCATTTCAAATTTTTTTTAATAGTTTTAGTTCCTTCAGTGAGCTTTAACAATTTTATTGTAAAGACCATTACACTTGTATACATTGGACAAGATAAAAATTAATATTTTGAGTGTTTGTTGAAGTTCAAGACCAAGAAATAATGACTTCACTAACAAAAGAAATGTTCGGCTTTGGGCATTTGTCTGCTTGAGCGGCTACAGAAGCAGCTCCTACAGATATGTATGCTTTAAGTTAGAATTTCCAAGCAAGCATTCCTACGGTTGGCAGCTTAATTATTGAAGATTGCATACAAACTTTCGTAATTATCGTGAGCCTGTGAAGACTAGTCCACTGCGGTACAAGAACGTTCTCGCTGCCCTAGCTGTCGTATCGGTGTGAACTATCGTGTACAAGGAGGCAGGGAGAATGTTTTTAAACGGAATACCATTTGTGAGCAACTTATTTGATTTCACATTACTATTAAATATTCCGCCATAATTTTGGTAATCAATCCAGGAATTTAGCGTGCAGTTGATAATTTGAAAGCTTGAAACGAATTTCATTTTAGAGCTCAACTCTTCCAGTGCAAAAAAAATTGTTGACTCCTATTTGTGATGGGTGGCTGCTTACTGCAATCCAGCTACTGCAGTAACATGACTTCGTTAAGATTAACACTCACTTTTCTACTGTGTTGACTTCCTTAAACTATGACTTATTTGACTGCAAAATTGTTTGTAAGGCATGAAACCCCAAGAGACCGGCTGCCTTTCTCCCCGAATGTTATTTTAGGCATCCCCACGCCAAAATTGGCTTAACGGTTTTGTTATTAATATGAGTGCGTTTTTTATTTATTTATCCTTTTGCTTTGCGATACTCAGATGCATTTCAATTGTATACCATGAACCACAGATATTTTTTTTGCATGGTAGTTTTTGTTTCATATCATGAGTAACATCACAACAACTCCTTTTTTATTTATTTCTTATTACTTATGTATTTAGATCTTCAAGGACGATGGCGCTATTTCATTACTCATCAGGCTCTTTTGATTTTTAGATACTTTTTCTTTCATTTAGTTATTGTTATTTATGCTCAAAGGAGATTGACTAAGATATCTAGATTTTTATTTGTTGTGATAGGTTTTCCAAGCTTTGACTTTACCAGGAACTCGCGCAGGTTCTTATGTCGTTTATAGGAAATCATAGGCGTTGTCGGGAAAAGTGATCGAAGATCCTCCTCTCCATCGATCTGATGCCAGTGTTTACACAGAGCTCGCCTCAAGTCATTTATTGATGTTTGCGGGTTATATTTTGACTTGAAGAACAGGTTGTGTTGTTTTGACCTTTCTGATTTGGTTTTTCCGCTCAGAGCCTCCTCTAGTTGTTCCAAAAACAGCGCTTTGCTGTAGCTTCTTTGTCTCAGATAATTATAGAGAATAAGGGTAGTTTTCATGAAATCAGTAACATTGTTGCAGTTCCGTTTATGCCTTAATAGTTCGCCTTTCACAAAACCTTTCAAACAAAATGAGGGATATGCGCGCTTGTGGTCTGAATATACTGGAAAGTTTCCGTAGGTTTGAAGTACGTTTTGGTGTCCAACATTCCGTTCTTACGGAAGTTCTCCCCTTTGCATATTGTGAGGTCAAGAAAGTTAAGCTCATGACTGCTGATTTCAATTGTGAATTTTAGAGACTCGCATTTTGTGGATTTTCTCCAGAAAGCTTTTGAGATCCTTCTCTTCAGCTTCGCTCAGGATAACAATGACATCTCTGTATCTCCGATACATAATCAGTTTGGGAATTTGGTCTACAAAAATTCTCTACAATGAGTGAAGGTATATATCAGCAATCGCCGGTGAGCATTTCGAACCCAGTGCTAGTCCGATCTACTCCTTATAGAACGTTCCATTAAATTTTTTTTAAAGGCCTCCCACACTCACCATTCCAACAAAAGAAAAGGGAATTGATTTTATTAATTAAAAACAGGGAATGGTTTCATGTCAATGATCA